GTGCATGACAGGGAAGTTAAAGAAGAAAGCTGCTGGAAAGAGTCTAAAGTGTAGAGAGTCTATAGTACTTTAGAATCATTACAGAGTTAACTGGAAACTTTAGTCAACCTTAGCCAGCCATAAGGGGAACATCATAGCTACAGCTTATTGATCCTCTGCTTTGTGCCAAATATTACAGTCCAAGTACTCTGCCAGGCACAATCCTCATGTTCTGCATCTTTGCAGCCTAGAGATTCTGCAAAAACTGATGGCCAAGTAGTTAAAGCAATTATCTTTCCCTTCTTTAATATTTCTATTGGAATCTACTATTTCCTGAGTAAAGAGAAGAGGGCAATCAACTTATCCACCTATCTATGAAATAATATCAAGTATTTCTTGTGTGTGGATATTTCACCTTATGAAATACTTAAGATGCTCTTTAAACAAGAGTATTGTGATTAATATGAAACATTAATTATGAATAAGGAGTCCACATAGTTTTCCTAATACACACTCTTATTGTTCTTTTTGGCACATAATTTTTGCTTTCTGGTTTTCTCATTCATCTTTCTATTTAGGTTCTATCTTCCTCCTTTCAGAAAAAAAAAATTCCCAGGAGGAGCAATTGTTTCTTATATGTCATAATTGCTTCATTGCTTAACATAAAATAATTCAATACTTCCAAAGGACTTTTCTATATACTAAGCCTTGTGGTTAATTCTGAAAAATAGACAGGATCAAAATATAGTCCTTGGCACCAAGGATCTTAAATCCTGAAAAGACATAAGAGTAAAATATGTAACAAAACACCTCAGTAAAAATCCAGGAAGAAGAGATCAGTTATAAGTTCAAAAATCTGTAAATATTAAGAAAGCCTTACAACATAGGTTTTTTAAAGCAAGATTTTTAAAGAAGGAAAAAAGGTATTCACGTGAAGGTAGGAATAAAATTTTCACACAGAAGGGCACATGTGCACTTAGGATACTTTCAAATATGATATTATTAAACCAATGTAATATTCATTTTTTACTCTGGGCATTAATTATGAAGAATATATGAAATAGGTGGTTAAGGAGAATAATTAGAAGAAACTGACACTCTTAAATTTCTAATAAGCAAGGTATAGGTACGGTTATAACAGGTTGCTTATTCATTATTATACTAAGTGATCACTTTCCTTTTTAACATCAGTTTTTCTTCAATACATTAATTCATTGAAAACACATTTATCAGCTGCGCGCAATGGCACACACCTGTAATCCCAGTGGCTCAGGTGGCTGAAATAATATTTCTAAATTTTCTACTTCTCAAAAACAAACAAACAAACAAAAAACTTGTCTACAAAGATTCCTTTAGTTTAGGTCACCAGTGGCTCAGGAGGATCCGGAGTTCAAAGCCAACCTCATCAAAAAACTAGGAGCTAACCAACTCAGTGAGACCCTGTCTCTAAGAAAATAAAAAATAATAGGGCTGGGATGTGGCTCAGTGGGTGAGTGCCCCTGAGTAGTTTAATCCCCAATAGAGAGAGAGAGAGAGAGAGAGAGAGAGAGAGGGAGAGAAGCCATATTTATCAAACAGTTTTGGTTGCTGGGAATTATGGTTAAGAAAGATATAAAACAAAGTCCCTGACCTCAAAAAGTTGAGTCTGTCTGGGGAGATATACAGGTTCACACAGCTACAATGTAGAGTGAGAAGTGTTACAGTCAGGGTTGGTTCAAAGAAGCAAGATAGTATCCAACTGGGTTTGGCTTTATTCCTGCTTGGCTACTATTTCCCTGATAGTTAAAGAAGGAAGTGTAGTGTGGCCTGATGCTTACCAGGAACATTAAAAAAAGAAACTTCTGACTATCGTTTTTTTTGAAAAATATCAATTCCTGGGCTGGGGATGTGGCTCAAGTGGTAGCACGCTCCCCTGGCATGCGTGCGGCCCGGGTTCGATCCTCAGCACCACATACAAACAAAGATGATGAGATCCCAGGTGCTCACGCTCTCCTCTCTCTCTCCTCTCTCTCTCTCTCTCTCTCTCTCTCTTTCTCTCTCTCTCTCTCTCTTTAAAAAAAATCAATTCTTCTAAAACTTAGTTTTCTTGTCTTTAAAGGTCAATAATACTAAATGTGACAACAAAAATCTTGTGTAATTTTCATAATTGGCCACTAGAAGTTGCAAATTCTTTTAGGTTAAGTCCTGACAAATAAGTGAAATAATAGATATAAAACATGTAACATAGTATCTACCATATAGAAAGTGTTCATAATGTTAGATATTAATTACGTGTTAAAGGTATATCTTCTCTATAAAACTATAAGTTCCATAAGGTTTATATATCTGAGTAATGGGTATTTATTCCCTGAATCCTCAAACACATCCTGTTTACCATAGAGGTGTATTAATTCAATTAGTGTTATTCCTCAATATCCATAGTGGATTTATTCCAGGACCCCCCTGCTGATAGCAAAATCTGAGGATGCTTAAGTCCCACATATAAAATGATATACCTTAAATAATCTCTCCAGATTATTTATAATGCCTAATATAATGCAAATGCTATTTAAATTATATATATATATATATATATATTATATTAGGAAATAATGCCAAAATAGAAGTCTATACAAGTCTATACATGTTCAGCACAGACACATTTCTTCCCAGATATTTTCTAAGTGAGGTTGATTGAAGATGTGGAACACTTAGATGTGGAGGGCCAACTGTACTAGGTAGCTCTAGGTAGTTGTAACCCTGCTGAAAAATCTTTTTTTTTTTTTTTTTTAAATATTGAACTGAAATTTGCTTCAGTTATGGTCACACCTTACCTTGAAAACATGTACACTGCCCAAATGTACTTGATGGTACTGAGTGATCCTAGACTTTGCAAATGAGGAGATATATTTAAGTTATTTGAATGGTTGTTATCCAAGGAAGGTTGCGAAGTGTAGAGAGGACTAGATGTAAAGGTTAAGTCCAAGTCTTATGACACCAAGAACATTGATTCTCCCCATTCTACAGCAGACTCAGTAAATAGCCTGAGCTCTGTGGAGGCTGTACAGTGGTGTGAAGTAAGACAAAATTATTGTAGTTCTTAACTTTGTGACTTTGGATAATTTAATTCATCTCACTACATATCCATTTTTCCTTATGTAAAATGGTAAAATGGGAAGAATGGTGGTATAAAACTTGAAAATCTTGAAGGGTTCCTATAATAATTAAATGAGATAATGTATATAAAATATATCATAACAAGTGCTTACTAAGTAAAATCCAAGTTATTCTGCCATTCCTAATTAGAGTTGACACCAGGAACATCAGAAAAAATATAATAAGTGTAGAATTTTGTTAGAAAGTCTTTAGAAACTCCCTCTTTTCTTCACTGGGTCATCAGGCAATCTCTTGATTCACTGTTGACAGATGAATTTCCCATATTTGTTCACTTTGTTCACAAATTCTTTATCAAAGTACCCAAGACACTGGATAATCTAGTCCATTTTCTCTATTTTTATCCTGCCTCTCCTTTTTCAAAATTCACACCATTTCTTATCCCTTGGATACACTGAATTTTGGGCCTTTGTCTATCTTGCTAGTTCCTACTCCTTAATGTCTCTTCTCATCTCCACTGATTAAACCCTATTTGTACTTCATGAATTTGTTAAATGCAAAGTTTCTATAATGCATTCCTAGAGAATGCATAGTCTCCTTCATGGACTATAAGAAGATAGTTGATTTCATGAAGTATGGATATTCTTTCCCTCTACATAACATTACTATTATTAAGAATATATAAAAGGGAGTAGAATTAGGTGTGATTGCTTCTCTCAGTTAATAAAACAAATAACAATTTTTTAAATTTTTGTTTATTTTTGTTTATTTTTTATATTTTTAGTTTGTTCTAATTAATTATACATGACAGTAGAATGCATTTTGACACCTCATAGACAAATGTCGAGAATAACTTCTCATTTGTCTATGTTTTATATGATGTAGAGTTACACAGGTCACGCACTATTACCCTTTATGCATATATACCCTATATATGCATATAGGGTAATAGTGTCAGATTCATTCTGCTATCATTCCTGAGTATGATAGTATGACCTCTTGCCTCCCTTCTTCACTCCCCTCTGTCTAGTCCAAAGTACCTCTATTCCCCTCCCCCATTGTGAATTAACAAAGAACAATTTCTTATTTATTTATTTTGAAAGACTGGCCAGATTCAGGTAGGATATGAAAATGAAGCCTCTGAGTTCAGAATATCATTCCTCTAAAAAATGATTTTATAAAGGTTTGGGAGTGTAGCTGTCATAGAGCCCTTGCCTAGCATACCTGAGGCTCAGGTACAGCTCCAGTACCACTAAATAAATAAATACTCAAATTCCTTGTGCATGGGGCAGGATGATTGCCAATTGGAGGCTAGGCTAGCCTCAGAAGCAAAGTCAGACCCTGGTGTCAATAAATCAATCAATAAATACTCAGTTGGTTTTATTATGTAAATGGAGGGCCACACCCTAAATATTTGTAAATAACAATGGAATTTGTTAGGAAAAAAGAGCTTGGTGGTAGGTGACTTTGAAGTCAACCCTATCTAAATATAAAGCCTTTTCTGCTTGAATTTATGCAGCACATTATTGTAAGTATTTTGTAGGGTTTGAAGCTGGAAAAAAAAAAAGTTCTTAAGAGATGACTTAAGTCTTTTCTACCAACTAGGTTGGAGCCAGGTCAGTATTTATTTTCCTAGGCAAACGGAGGAGCATTCTGTTGAGTCACTGAAGCGGAGAGAGAAAAGTAGCGCTCCCTTCTCGCAGATTCGTCCTTCTCAGCAAGAGCCGCAAATTTCCAGGAGCAACTTTCTTTCTTTTTTTTTTTTTTAAGCGCCTCTCGAAAGAGGCCGGGTTTCCTTGCCTACCCTTCGCACGGATTGGTTCAGAGTAGACTAGCAATACTTTTAGGGAGGAACTGAACCCCAGCGCTGGGAGTGAATTCTCGCCGAGGGTGACTGATAGGCCAGGCACTAGGGGAGGAAGGCTGCCCCAGGGCGGGGCGGGGCGGGGCTGCTGGGCCAGGACCCGGCTCGTGCTGCCGCCGCAGAGGCTCAAGTCTCTGAAGGCCTAGCCCCACTCAGCGGAGATGTGGAATCCCCTGCGCGAGAACGACTCCGCTGCAGGCCCCGGACGCCGCCCGCGCTTGCTCTGCGCTGGGGCGCTGGTGCTGGCCTCTGGCCTCTTTATCCTCGGCTTCCTCTTCGGTAGGGGCGCTTTTGCTAAGAAAAACCCAGAGCCTCCCCGCGCAGTTCCGCGGTTTCCAGATTCGCGAGCCGGCAGCCCAGTGGGGTCCTGTCGCTCGTCTTCCCCAGGGGCGGGCTGTTTGGAAAAGGGCGATAGGCGGAAGGGTTCCTTCGAGATTGGCAGAGCATTGCTGCGGGCTGTATAGGGTTAATTTCTAAAGACGTTTGGGGGAAGGTATAGAACGGGGAGAAGGGTTGAACCTGAAATTGAACACCCTGCAAGATTCAATACTTTGGGGGACAAGCAGCATTATTTTTACGGTTGTGTAACGAGGTCATCCAAGCTTTGCCTGAAGCGGCTCCTACCTGTTTGGGGTTTTCGACTAGTTCGGTGCCTGGGAATGCTGCAGGTGCAAGGTAGAATTCGGGGTATTACTCCAAAGGAGTCTTCACAGTCCTAAGTCGTAGAGAGTAGCAGAGGCACATTTAAGAAATGGGTGAATTATTGCTAGCGCTTTGAGCCAATCTTTGTATTGTTTCCTCAGTACTGACTTACAGACTTAATCCAACTCTACATGAAAATCATAGCAGTATGTGCAGACTCAGACTTTAAATTCTAATTTTGATTCTACCACTTCGTAGTGACCTTGAACAAATTACCAAGTCTCTCTCAACCTCAGTTTCTCACTTTATGGTGAGAATAATACCTGCAATTTATAGATTATAGTGAACGAAATAGCATGCAAAGTTCCTAGCACCATACTGCGACTATTTTTGCTCTTCATTTCTCCTCTATAAGGAGATGATCCTAACAGGACTACTCCAAGATATCAACAGATAGTCCGCCCTGATTCTGAATTCTGGATCCCCTAGCTGGGATTTAGAAGACCCTTAACTGGTCCACGTTAATAAACTTAACCAGTTAAGTTTATTCAAATTTGCTATCATCTGCTAGTTCGCTGTGTGACCCTGGAGTTTCAAAAGACTTTTGAGCCATATGCTCTGTTCATAAACTAACATGTGGGATTGGTAACCACCTAGGGTTGCTGTGGGGCTTAAATAGGATACATGTTCAATAATTATACATTTCAAATGAAGTTTTCATTTTCTCAACTAGAAAACTAGGAGTTAAGAACTGCCAAGGTCAACATACTAGTCAAATATCCTATCTGTCTTAAAGGCGTCTCATTCTTTCTAGTTCTGCCCTTACCCCAATTCCTATATTCAATGTCAGTGGCTGGCACAGAATAGGTTTTTTATTGTGTTTGTTTTCCTTAATATTCTCTGCTGTCCTCTCCTGTCTGCAGACCTCTAAGCTTTTCATCATGTTCATTTTTCAGATCCCAACTCAAATATCAAATATCTCATCCTCAGTGTATCCTTCTTTGATCCCACATTCTAATCAAAGTCCTTTAATTTAATTAACAGGTAAAACCATATATCATTCATGTCCAATCATGTATTTTAATGTGTTGTTTACATGCATGTGTGTTTGTATACATATGATCAAAAAATTGGAGAACATCATGAAAACTGAGTGGGTGTTGAGTTTGTAATAATTTTAATCACACATCAATATACTCTTTCCAAATAAATCCCATCATGATTCCATCTCTCCCTTAGATTAAAAGTCAACCACAGAGGCTAATGGGCTCTACACCATGTGGGTATGCATTGCTTCTGGTCTCCTTCGTACATTGCATGCCTTGGGTAAATGTTGGGTAAATTGGTGTTTCACTGTAGGTTTCTGACCTTCAACTTCTCAAGCCTATTTCAACTAGAAATAAAATCGCAGCACATTCTGTTTTCATTTCAGAACCAGAGCAAATTAAAAGTTTGAGTTCTTTTCAACATTTTTAAAATAATTTATGTACTTGAAATATGAATTATGTACTTGAAATATGAAATAGTTAATTCACTACACACATTATTAAATGTTTATTCTAGGTCAACAGGCAAGAAGTCACTAGAGAGAGAATTTTTACAGAGAAAGAAAGTGGATCCACATTTGGACTTTATTTTTAATATATACAGTTTATGTCCATTGGTTGAAACCCTAATGCCATATTTAAATCAAGTGCTGATTTTTCATCAAACATTTCTTAAAATAGCAACAATATATTATTATTGAAATTTGAAATAAAAACATGTTGCTTTGTAATTTTAAATATTTGCATGATGCTTTTTCAGTGGAAGTAGGCAAAGGAAATTAAACTTTAGAAAATATCAGCTAACATCTTGAAATATTGATATTTTGTGTTTTACACATGACAGATACAATCAAAAAGAAAAATAAGACTTGTCTATAAGCTTATATCTCATTCCTATATTTGTATGTATTTTACAGGATGGTATATAAAATCTTCCAACGAAGCTGCAAACATTGTTCCACAGAATGGTCTGAAGAAAGCATTTTTGGATGAATTGAAAGCTGAAAACATCAAAAAGTTCCTATAGTAAGCATATACTTAAAAATTGTATTAATAGATAATTGGGTATTATTCTGTTAAGAAGTTTTGATATTTCATACACAGGCTTTTTTTTTTTTTAAATCAATGTTTTCTGTTTGGTGCAGATCTTGCATCTCATTTCATGTGGGGAGGATTATACTCTTAGCTAAACTTTATTACAGAGGCTTCAGAGTAGGAGTCAGTGAACTTTTTCTGTAAAGTGATCAGCGTTTGTGGGCCAACACATCTTTGTCATAACTACTCAGCTTTGCTATTGCAGCAACAAAGAAGCCATAGAAAATATATTAAAAATAAGCATGTAAGTTATGATAAAATATTATTTATAGGCAGTGGTATTTGAACAAAATTATTCTGTTTTATTCACCTATTGGTATTTAAAAACCATTCTTGGTCTGTGGACTATACAAAAAAACAGCAGTAGGCTAGATTTAGCCTGAGGAAATTAGTTTGCTGACTCATGCTTTAGAGAGAGAGTATTTTTTAGTAAAAAACAGACTTGGGAACTGAACAGAATTGAGTTTGAATTGCATCTTTGCTGGCTAATACTAAAATAGGTCTAAGTGAATACTTAATCTTCCCGAGCCTTCATTTCTACCCCTATAACATGGAGATAATAATATTGCTGTGGTGAGAATGAAATTGGAGAGTATGTTTGGCATATTTTGAATATTAGTTCCATGCTTCCTGAGATAGCATAGAGCAAAAGAGAAAATGAGTAATTTTTAAAAGTATTTACAAAGCAACTAAAAATAAAACAAAGCAACTAAAATAAAACAATTAATATATAATTGATTAGAATAGCTAGTTTTTGTCAGAGCATAAATTCTCCTTGCATATTTATTTATTCATTTATTTTTTCAAATAGCTTAGTGCATATATCCAAAAAATATCTGAAATACCTCTAGTGATTGAAGTATTTTCTAGTGAATACAGGATGTAATTTTATATAAAAAGACCATAACTTTACATACATAGATAGATATGCATAGTCATAACAAACACATAAATGTCTATATTAATTGCAACAGAATCAAAACTGTGGATTAAAAAAAATTGCTAAGGGGCTTGGAAGGTTTTTGGAAGAGTCTCTTTAAGTGAGAGAACTTGGAGTTCAAACTTCTTTACTGTGCAGAAAACTTTCCTAGGCCTCTTGCACTTTTTCAACTATAATCATGTTGATTTGGGATAAAGGCTCATTAAACATTAATTTCTAACCACTTTCAATTTTTGTTCACCAGTAATTTTACACGGATACCGCATTTAGCAGGAACAGAACAAAACTTTGTGCTTGCAAAGCAAATTCAATCCCAGTGGAAAGAATTTGGCCTGGATTCTGTTGAGTTAGCCCATTATGATGTCCTGTTGTCCTATCCAAATAAGACTCATCCAAACTACATCTCAATAATTGATGAAGATGGAAATGAGGTAAAAAAAACAGAAAGGGAATAAAAGAAACATCCATCCCAGTCTATTCTTTTCAAATACCTTCTATGAAACAATATGCTCTCTCTTCTTCAAATTTTGATAGAAATCAATATTATTGAAGTTTGTGAATAATATCTTTGATAACTCATTATAGTGTCAACTACTCTGTTATGATGTTTGAGTTTAATGTGATGTTGGAAAGATTCTGATAAATTAGTGATTTATGATAGTTACTGTCTTTATTTTTTGTATTTTAGTATTGTATATCAATGTCAAATATTATATACTGATAAAATTCCAAGAAACTAAAATAGATACACTTTTGATAGGTTTAAATTATGAATGCACTGCATAGATGTGGAGTTGCTAAAATATCATTGATCAGTGTGCTGTTTTCACTAGCAGGTTTTATTGGTTTGTAATGATCATGTTTCCACTTGATCTTATTCAAAAGGCTAAGAGGCAATGAATTTTTATGTCTGAAAGGACCATGTGATCAAATCTCTGACAACTTGTATGGGGCATTTGGAGGGGGAAATGATGAGGCAAGTTCTACAGGTTGTTATCTACTCTACAGAATATGCAACATTGTTCGCAAATTCAGGCATATACAGGAGGAAGAGACGAAAACACACATAATCAACATAATTCCTATTGTAATTTGTTTCAATAAGAAAGCTCATAAAATTTAACTCAAATATCTACCCTTATTTACTACATCTTATCTACCATATCATAACTAAAAGAGACAATTTTAGATATGATAGGACTATTATATCTAAAATTGTCTCTTTCAGTCTGGAAAGCTTCCTTCAATCCTTTTGTTACTGGGTATTCTAAGTTACATATTGCTTCAAATATATCCAGCTTGATAAGTGCACTGAAAATGTCATGTAATTTTAATATTAATTTTTTTTCAAAATATGTCATTAAACTCCTCTCATTGAAAATGTTATCAATCTCTTCTTGATAAAGGATTAATATATTGTTTTTTTTCAGTCACTGATAGAATCCCATGCTAAATTTCCTAATATAATATCCTAATATTATTTTCCATATTAACTATTTTAAACTTTAGTAGTGAACAATTTAAATTCAGAGAAATGCTATTAAACTTTGCAAAATTTAAAAGTATTTTTAAAGTATGGGGAATGATAATATACATCATAGATTTTCATGATATCTACAGAATAAGTGCTGGCATATCTATATAATCAATTATGAACTTGATTTTCCTTTAAACTTGCTTTTAAAGGAAAATTATTTAATGACATAATAAAATATTGACAATGTTAAAAATGCACATATATATATAAGACTGTCTTAATATATCAAATTTGGGGATTGTTAGTATATAAAACAGAAAATAGCAGACTCTTAATGTTTTTCTTTTGTCTTTCCTTCACTTACCAATTTTGGGTGGTTCATTGTTTTTATTATTTCATTATTTATTTTTTTGTTATTACATACATTTATAAAGTTACTAAAGCCTATCACATGAAATAAAAATGAATCATGGGCTGAGGATATAGCTCAGTTGGTAGAGTGCTTGTCTCACCTGCACAAGGCCACATGGGTTCAATGCACAGCAAAACACACACACACACACACACACACACACACACACACACACACAAAGAATCATAAAAGTTTTATTTTGGAGACTTTACTGAATGATGCTAGCTACCTAAAGCATCTTATTTATTCCAAGTTATATCATTGATTCATTTTAATTTTTGTACAAGTTACACAAGCATTTCATAACATGGTCCTATGGGATACTGTACTTCCTCTGCATTTTACCATTTTCAGGGCAATCACTATTCGTCTACCCACTGATTCTTTTGACATTCACCTCCATTTGTATAAATTTGTTTCAAATTCTGGCATTATCTATAGAAATTGTGTCAATTCAGCTATATGTCATCCCCCTACTCTGTTGCCAATGTTCTTTCTTATCTCCTAGTGTAGTTTGTTATATGTGGCAAACTATTCACAGCTGAGCTGTGTGGTAAGATATGATTTCTTCTATTCTTGTATAACACAGACAAGTTTTCTGCCCACAGGCAACAGATATAATTAGTAGTTTCTAGATCCTATTAGAAACCCAGTGTTCTTACTCTACATAAGTACTTTGTTTCACTTTGTTTATGCATAGATAATATACCACAGACATTGAACTGCACATTGCCTTTTTATGTCACAAAAAGTAAATAGAAATTTATAATCCAAAATTGTTTAAATTATACTCAGAACACATAATATGAAGCTACTAGTGAATTTCAGAAAGTAACTAATGTTCTAAGGCTGATATATATTCTACTTTTAATAAAGTCAATCAAGTAAGTAATTTCCTTGACCTTAAAATTATTTTCTTTATTGTTAGAATAACTCATGAGGTTGCTGTGAAATTTAGTGCTGCACACTGTGACATAATATTGAAGATTTCCAAAAATTAATTGAGGCAAGCTTGAATGCTCCCTTGCCAGGAAGACTCACTGATATGGCTTTGCTTCTATATGTATTTTTATTGCACCTTAGCAAGTTTCTTTTACAAACTTACAGTTTCTTTTACAGACTTACAGTGACATAGATAAGTTTGTACCCTATGCAAATCACAGAAAACAATATGGGAAATTTGAAAAGTGTAGGAATTTTAGCATAGTGGTTGGTTTGGTATCATTTGAGGTCCCATCAGTCTCAGTATTATCCGGACTCACTCCCAGTGCCTCTATCCTGGATATACTGCACTGGCAGTGATGTGAGTATGATATTGAAAGAAGTGATGATATCTGGTAACCTTGAATTTCTTCCAGTCTTGAAGGGAATGACTTTAAATTTCCACTATTAATTTTGATAGCTGCTATACTCTTATGAGGTTAACTTGCTTCCTGTACAGGTTGCTAAGACTTCTTGCTGTGAATGTGTTGAATTGTATCAACACATTTTTTTTTTTGAGATGAGCATGATATTTATCTTTCTTGAGCTTATGATAATATTAAGTGATACTCTAATGTTAATCTAACCTTACATTTCTGGAACTGGTACTAGGAGTTTAAATTCATATGTTCATATATTCAACTTATATTCCTAACATGTCTAGTCTTTTTTTTTTTTTTTTTGCAAGTTACTTCTTAGGCTGTAATCTCTAGATCATACTTGTTTTATAACATGAGTTGTTTATAGTAGTCTCTGAGAAAGATTGTGTTTGTTATATTTAAATGATCTTTTTCTTTAACCTTTCATGGAGAACTAGTTGGCCTTGGCACTTTATTTTGAACTCAGGGGCAATTGACCACTAAGCCACATCCTCAGCTCTATTTTGTATTTTATTTAGGGACAGAGTCTCACTGAGTTGCTTAGCATTTTGATTTTGCTGAAACTGGCTTTGAATCTGTGATTCTCCTATTTCAGCCTCCAATACCTCTGGGATTAAAGGCTTGTGCCACCACACTCAGCTCATTTATTAAGTTTTTTAAAGCTGCATTTTCCATTTCATCTAAGTTTTCAAATTTATGGTCATCATTTTTCTTAATATTTTCTTACCTTTTAATAATTTGTGTAGTTGGGCTGGGGATAAAACTCAGTGGTAGAACACTTTCCTAGCATGCACAAGGCCTTGGGTTCAACCCCAAATGAGTAAACAAACAAACAAATAAATAAATCTGCCTAGCAGCTGTAGATAAGCTTTTTTCCATACCAAATATTATTTTTTATGTTTTTGCTATTTTTTCTTATTGATCTTGAGAGAGACATCTTTTGGCTTTGGGAAACTTTTCTTGTGTATCTTTGTTTTATGTTTTATTAGTTCCATTCTTACTTTATAATTGCCTCTTCTTTCTTTGTTTTGTTTACATGGCTAATCTTTGTAGCTTACCTTGTTGGCATTTGACCTTATTTTTAATATGAGTTTTAAGGCTACAAATTTCCCTGTAAGTGTCACTTCAACTGAGTCTCACAACTTTTCAAAAAGAATACTTTAGTTATCTTACCATCAAATAGTTTTCTTAATTTCTATAATTGTTCCACTCTGGAATTACTTAGAATTTTTAAAATTCTGAATTTTAAGATTGTTCTTACTGTCTAGTTTGATCTGATTCTTAGATTAAATATACTGTGATAAGATAAAGTGATTTGTAGGATGATAATCCTTTGACAGTGGTTGAAGTTTCCTTAGAGACTAATATATGGTAAACTTTTATAAATATTTCATTCTTTTTAAATGTGTGTGTGTGTGTGTGTGTGTGTGTTGGTTTTGGGATTTAATATTTTATATCTGCTTTTTGACTTGCATTTGTTCATTACCTGACTGAAATCCCCTTTTCCTTAAATGTATCCTTATTTTGTCTACTTTCTCTATCAATGAAAGAAGGAGAAATGTTAAATACTCAGTATTCTAGTATTGAGTTTTTTTTTTTTAATTATTTTATTTATTATGTGGTACTGATGATCAAACCCAGTGCCTCACATGTGCTAGGCAAATGCTCTACCACTGAGACACAACCCTAGCCTCTAGTATTAAGGCTTTACCATGACAAGTTGAATGTAGATTATTTTCTTATTTATTTTGATCAGACTATTTTGAAACTCCTAAATCTGAGAGTTCATAATTTTTATTAGCTTTGTAATATTCTTAGTTATTAAATATTCAAATCTATTTCTTTCACATTCTTTCTGTTTTCTTCTTTTAGAACTGTGTGTGTCCCAATCATTCTCATTTTATTCTTTAGTTTTCTTAATATTTCTTCTATACTTTTCGTTTCTAAGATTCTGTGTTGTATGCTGGCCCATTCCTTCAGATCTGTCTCTTAAACTCATTAATTTTCTCCAGATTTGTATGTTTTTTAACCTACAAATCATTTTTAATTTTTTTTCATCTAACTTTTAACCAGCATGTGTACGATAAAACAAGAAAAGTAGTCTTTGCAGATGTGATTTTACTTTGTTCTTTCTGTTGGCTCTTTTCTAACTATTTTTGTGTGTTTAGTGATTTGGGGGAACCCTGAGTTCTTTCTCACAAATTTGTGGAACTTTCTTAAATCTTAAATTTAAGGCTAAGTCTTCCTGATAGTTGCTGCCAAGTTCCAGGGGATGCCATAAATCTGGCACTACTTTAAAATATTATTTTTTTAGTTTAAGGTATTTTGTACCATATGGATTATGAATGGGAAATTGCACGGCTATGAATTCTCTGGTGCCTTTCTTTCCACTCTACACTAAGCCATCACTTTCTGTAGAACAGATATATTTCTAATTTATTGCTAACCCTAAATAACATTCTTCTTTGGAGACTACCCCATAACCCCTTCAAAGGCATATCTTCAATGACCTAAGATCAGCTCACCATCTCCTAAAGATTACTCCTCCCATAAGTGCCACTCTGGAGAACAAACTGTTAACAACACATCGGCCTTAAGGGAGCCTTCAGCCTTCACACTACAGCATGGATTCGAGCACTCATTCAAGATTACTGTTTTCATATCTTTTGTTGTTGTTGTTGTTGGGGGGTGACTTTTGAGTATTACTGCTTTTCTTTCTCAATTCAATAGTAACATGTAGAAAGACTTAGATGTTTTGTTTCACAGTTTTCATACTTTTTGGTGTGAATATTGTTCCTTGTATCCAGATACTACTGGGTATAATCCTCAATTATGTAAAAGCTCATTAAAGTAAATTAAAATTTAATACTTATTTTTTTTCTAATTATCTTAGCACTATTATTACAAGTGCCTACTATTACTATACATTACTATATTTGTATTTGGGTACTAAAATTTAACATTTTTATCTGTGGAAACTTTTTTTTTCCCCTAAATCAAAAGCTGGTTCTTATGACTTCTCTCAGGGATCACAAGAGGTTAATAGACTATTAGCCTTCTGTGAAGCAACTATATTTTTAGGCTTTTTATTTAAGTCAGACTGTGATGCAATGCCACTTAAAAAAAAAAAAAACTATTGCTAATTTAGGGGGATAAAGCATTTTTTTAGATTTGTCCCCCTAAATGGATGTTGAGGACAAAGTCTGAATTGATTTATTTCATGTGTTCCTCACACCTTCTAACACATTGCTGAGCATCTGATATGTATTTTCACAATGCTGAAGGATTAGTTACCCCTCAACTGCCAGAGATAATTAAGATAGTAAGCAATTCCCCTTGCTAGAATGTAGGAATTAGACTTCAGCTGATTTGCTTTTGTGTTTGTGTCTCCAGATTTTCAATACATCCTTATTTGAACCACCTCCTCCTGGATATGAAAATATTTCAGATGTTGTGCCACCTTTCAGTGCCTTTTCTCCACAAGGAATGCCAGAGGTAAAATGTGATGGAATAAAATACAAATGACAAAAAGAAGCCTCCTGTCACCTCAGACATGCAGGCAATATTTAAAGGGTAATAAGAGGATTTTTGATATAATTCAAATTAACCTTTTTCCACATTTGAGAAACTAGAGCTCAGGAGAGAAAAAAAAGAGTGCTGATTTTTTTGTTCATGGTGCTTTTTTAAGATAAAATGTGTTACAATGAGATGCACAAAATACATTTATTGACTTTTGACAAATACATCCACCTGTGTAATCCAGACTTCTTCGGTGTATAGAGTATTACCATTACTTCAAAAAGTCCCTTTGTATTCCTTCTTAATCAACTCCACACAGCACTGAGTGAATCATTCTTCTGATTTTTTTCACTATTGTACATTAATTTTGCCTATTTTATTAATTCATATAAATGGAATTATATGACATGTAATTTTTGTGTCTGGATATTTTCACTAAAGATAGAACCTGTGAGATTCATGTTTTAATATTAGTTTGCTCATTTTATTGTTCCAAATTGTTGTTCCAGTAATTTCTGTTGTATGCCTATCATACATTACTAAAACTGTATAATATTGATTAATTTTCAAAAATTTTGAATAAGGATATTGTTATCATTTCCAAATTCAGAATATGAATCCCCATTCTTAAAAAATCATATGAAGTTTACTTAATAGACTGTGCATCAGTATCATTTGAATTTTTATAATTTAAGTCTCCAGATTCTTGCACAGATTTTGGTGAATGTCTTAGTTTGTACTTCTCTAACATAATACCACAAACTGGGTAATGTATAAAGAAGAAGAGTTTATTTTCTTATAGTTCTGTGGAGGCTGTAAAATCCCAGACCAAAGTGACAGGACATTTGGTTTTCTGGTGAAGGCTGCTCTCTGCTTCTGAGATGGCACCTGGTTGCTGTGTCCTCCAGAGTGAAGGAACAAGTGGCCTCATATGGCTGAAGACAGAAGGGCAAGCAAGACAAATGCTTCCTGGAGCCTCTTATACAAGGGCCTTAACCCCATTCATGAGGGAGAATCTCATGGACCAGTCACTTCTTAAAGGTTTCACCTTTGAATCCTTTTATCTTTGCTATTAAGTTTCAACACCTGAATTTGGGAGGAGACATTCAAACCATAGTAATGAGAAAGCTAAACTGGAAAAGATTCAAAATAATTTATTAGTAACTCAAAATGTTCTGTCTCCTAATATAATGTTTAACATTAAGTAAATTTAATTTTGGATGTTTCAAGTTTGTGGTACTTAGGACAAATTTTACAAGTTCCTCATTGGAAGTTAGGTATATTGTGTTATCACTCAATAGAAAGGTAAAGGTTTGACTGTCATTGGAAATGTCCTAAATAAAATGTTTGCACTTAGAATTGAACTGACATTGTAAAATCTTTACCAATCAGTTAGGATTTGCAACAAAAACATAAGGATATGTCAGGTACAGAAGCATATGCTTGTCTTCCCAGCTACATGGAAGGTTGAGACAGGAGGGTCTTTTGGGCCCAGGGGTTCAAGACCAGTCTGGAAAACAACAAGACACTGTCAAAAAGATGTAAGGATGATTTAATGTCAGGCAATGTCATATTTTTATTATTTTAAAAATATTATTTATATGATTTTCAAATGAATTTGATTTGACAATTTATTTTCAATTTTAAAACTTCACGAAACAGAACATTTTCTATTAGATGAGATTTATTTCAAATGAACATTATGCTTAATGACATAATTAACATTATATTTAATGATAGATTATTAAAAAAAAATTCTATGTAAAATTGAGCCATAATAAAGATGCTTTCAATCACTGAAATTACTTCATAATTGACAGGAGATAGAAATAGGGGATAAAACAGTTGGCAAAGAAAATACAGTATATTTTAGATCTTAGGTTTGTTGCAGTTGCTTAGATTTATTCTCCAGGTTAAACCACTCTATTATTGTGAATACATGTGCAGATCCTTTATTTATTTTAGTTTGTTTTCACTTCAAATCTTATTCTCAATCCCATTCTTCTTCTCCACTCTAATGTATTTGTGTCCTTAGTTATGTGTGTGTTCTTGGAACTATATGGCTTTGTATGTGTTGGAGGTATTTACAATTCACATAAATCACATTACACTTTAGGACTTATTTGGTTTGTTTCTACTTTCAAAAGTTCTTTCAAAATTTGTTTTTGCCTTATGTCAGAGTAGTTAAAAGATTTTCACTGTTACATATTATCTTATGTGGGCACCAGAAGTGACACTCATTCTCTTATATATATAATTTGTCTCTAAACTCTCTTTATCCCAAACATTGTCACAGTGAATGGTCTCGGACATGTCTAGATTCAGGCCTATGAGAGTTTCTTTGTGCACAATAACAAGAAAACTGTGAAGCCAGGTGAGGTGGCACTGGCCTGTAATCCCAATGGCTCAGGAGGCTGAGGCAGGAAGATGGTGAGTTCAAAGCTAGCCTCAGCAAAATCCAGTTGCTATGCAACTCAATGAGACCCTGTCTCCAAATAAAATACTAAATAGGGCTGGGGATGTGGCTTAGTGGTTGAGTGACCCTGAGTTCAATCCCCTGCCCCCCCTCAAAAAAAAAACACTGTGAAATTTATTGAAAAATGAAACCGTTATTTAGAGAAAACAGATTGTGCTTCCAGATGAGAAGACAGAATATTATGAGGAGAATATTACACCCAGATTTCTGGGTTGTAGGAAATAATTAATTTCTCCAGGTCTATCCTAAGCACTTTATATCCTCACTCACAGTGTATGAATGTTTCTCTTTCCTAAAATGGATGTATAAACTTTAACATCTCAATTTTGCCCATATAACTGTTCAATTTTGTTAAAGTTTTAGTTAACATTTCTTTGATTATAAATGAGATTGCTCTTCTCTAAACATACATATTTATTAACTAATCTTTTTTCACTTTTGAAAGCATTGTTATATATTTTTATGTTGAATTTCTGAGCTTTTTATTTTTATGGGTTTCTTGAATATTTTAATTATTCATTCCATATTGATTTTAGATATTGCATATATCTTCTAATTTTTTGGCTCTTTGTTATTTTTATCTATGTTGTACCTGGTTGAAAAGAAACCCTCATTTTTGATACTGTCAAATTATTCTCCACATATTTTTGTGCTTCAGGCCTTTTTAAATTAATTACCTCCATTATTTATAATGATATATCTGCAAAACCAAAATATACAAAAATCTGAACTAACAAATCTTCATTTAAAAATAATTTTACCAGATGAGAGTTAAATATATAAGGAAAATTACATATGATAGCAGAATATATAATGAAGAAACTTAATTTGAAATAACTATGAAATAAGTATACTTCTACAATCTTATCAGATAGATGAGTGTGAAGCAGTTAAAGAACGCTGTGAAATGTATTTAACAGTAAAAAGATTATGTAGAAGAAACAGATTATGATTTGTATGGGAAGGCAGGACACTGTAAGTAGGATATTATGCCAGATTAATTTATACCAGATAACTTAATTATTCACAGATTTATTCATAGATTTATCATATAAGCACTGAAAATCCACCAAACAATTTTTGAACTTTGACATGATTATTCTACTCATAAGAAATTGTCATAAAAATTATTATCACTTATTTCTTTCAGGCATGCTTAAATTCTTCTAGATTAACAGCAGGATAAATGGAGTCTGTCATTCTGTTTAGAGACATATTTTACAATTAAATTAAACTATCAGATGTGCTTGCTGGCTTTTGCACTTTGCTGGATCATATGTAACCAGTCAGAAGAGTCTTAATTCACTTTTAAATTGTGTCTATATGTATATGTGTATAAGATTTCACTGTTGTCATCTTTGAATGTATATTTTAATCATCTAGTTTCTGCTTTAGTCTATTTGAAATTTGACATGTCCATAAAGTATTGTAACCTAAAACATAATCCAGTGGCTCTCAAACTTCAGTGCGTGTCATAACAGTTTGTGACAAAGATTCTGTTCCCACCCTGGGTTTGAATAGATCTGGGTTGGAGCCCGATTTGTCTTGGTCCTAGGTGATGCTGTCACTGAACGCTCCAGAACCACACTTTGCCTCTCAATTCTGCTCCACAAACAAGGGTGGGGAGATGGATACTCAGAGGAAACAGGGAAAACCTGAAGCCAACAGTGCAAGATTGCATTTATTCACAGGCACAGAACAATGCTACAGTATAAATTATAAGAAGGTCATTGTTTGAAAACAAGGCTTTTTTCTAACCAACAGTGACAGCCCCCATTTGAGAAAGGCTGGGAGGGAATATCTATCAGACTTGTTTTCATTTTCAAAGTTTACTGTCACTTTCAAACTAATGTTTTCTCTAATATCTTCTTCATAATAATTTGTTATGGAAAGATCGGCAATTTATCAACAAATTTCCACCATTGAGTGATATTTAAAGGAACAGTCTCCCCAAAGTTGGTGGTGTTAAGGATAAATTTCAAGTAGAATAATTAACACTGGTTTTTCTTTTTCCTAAAATAAAATGGTTTAATGGCTTTTTAGCCACAGTTGAAATAGAATAAGAGCATACTCTAGAAAACTCTTTTTAACAATTATAAGCCAGACATATACTGCTGTCTTTAGAAATGCATACATATTTTATTGGTTTTAGGAAGAAATATAATAACTTAAAGAATTCCTCTTATAAAAGCAAAGATTTTCATGTCACCTTTTCAATTAGCTTTTTCCCATTTTGTTTAAAATTGCACCTATATGAGTACTAATTCACTGTTTGACTACTCTAACTTTTAAATTTTTCTATAGCATTTATCACCTTTTAATATGTCATATAATTTGTTTAGATATTAAATTTAATGTTTATTGTCTTTTATCTTCTTCCATCCACACTTTTGTAAGTTGCTTCAAGGGCAGAGATTGCTGTACCGTGGCACATAATAATTTCTTCAACAAATCTGACAACTAATTCTTAACAATCAGCTGGGAAGCAACTATTTTAGTATTTGATATAAATTGATTATGTATATGCTATGATAAATGTAGTCAAAAAAGAAAATTAGAAACACCATAAAATTATAGGATGTAGGAAATCATTTGGGACAGTGTCTTTAAACTGGGGTGTGCGAAAGCTTTTCAGGTGTAGGTATGTGTTTGTTTTAAGGAAATATATTTTCAGATCAGCAGTTGCCCGGGGTACTTCTATGTGAAATTGAGTACTAGCCTATGTGTTGAGGTCCGGTTGCTACTCTGGCCCTACCTTCCTATTTATAATCATTTTTCTCTTGTATTACAAATGAAAGACATACTCTACCTATATCCTCAAAAAACATAAATGAAGTATTTCTCTGCATTGTAAGACTCGATGGGGCTACAAAGAAATTGACAATTAGAAGTGTTACTTTCTGTGTTGAGATAGCAAACAATTCTAACAATTAGGTAATAGATTATTTTGCAAATTAAATGGTTTGCAGATCTAACAAAATAAAGGTGAATCCAATTCAATTTCTAGCTGATATCATTAAAAGTAAATTGTATGATAAATCAGCATTTGGTTTTGGGATTGTAACATGGATGAAGTTTGAATTATGTAGTGACAGTTCTTAAAAAAATCTGTTTACTCTCTTATCCAAGGTTTCTCAGAACTTATATGTGGACATAGGAAATGTGAATAGAATGTTGTTGATCTCTGTCTCATTCTAGCAATAACTAATTCACCCATAGATTTTTAAGATAAAGCTTTGTCATACCATTATTTGCATTGTATTTAAATCTTGTGTACTTGTACTACTTAGAAATATTTATGATGATTTTGTTAGACTCACTTTGACATTAATAATGATTATAATAAAAATTATCCCTGAAGAATTTTCTTAACACAGTCTGTCCCAGGAAACATTTTTAAATTGATTTTATACACTATACATGTTCAAGGAAATTTGACAGTAATTAATAAGAGAATTTCAAGTATATTTAAGTTCAAGAGAATAGATTTTGAAACTAAATCTAATGTACTAGATGACAAGTAAAGAGTATTCTTGTGAAACCAAAGCCTATGGCAGGACAGAAGGAGAAGCTGGATTAGGCAGAGGGAGAATCACACTGCAGTGCTAGCTCAAGAGCAGTCTTGACTAACCCTATGCAGAGCTCCAGAAAACCCCTTTGGAATTATCTTTGATTAGACAGAGGTATTCAAGTATGTGCTTACACCAATAATCCACTGAATGTGTAACAACCCCAAAAGCAACATGACCTCACAATGTGGCCATCTGCAGCTGAGGCAGTCCCTGAAGGTTTGACAGCTGAAGGCTTTCCACAGGCAGGAAATCTTCCCTGCAGCTGAAACAAGATAGTCTTCATTGAAGGGGAATCACAGCAAATATAGTTTTCTTCAGAGTGAAATACTGAAAGGAAAGGGGCACAAAACACAAGATCAAGAAGAAAAAGGAATGATGGAGTCCTAACACTAGAGTATGTCTTTTTTTAAGTAGATGATGTTGAATAGTAAATAACTGCATATTTATTTAAATTCCATTGGGTACATAGAAAATTATGTAAGTTGCTTCTAAAATATTAATGTTTATATTATATTATAACATTCTCTGCAGATACTTGAAAAAATTTTAGATGTCCATGTTAAATATATGAATAGGTACATTGCTTTTCAAAGTCAATTTTATGACTAGAGTACCAAAATAAAACAAAAAAGGTTGGAAGATCACTGATTTAACCTAACAGTTTATTTTACAAATCAGAATGTTGAGACTCAGAGATGTCTTGCACATAATTATGCTAATAACTGAACCCAATGACACAAGCCATTTTCCTCCTGGTACTTGTGAAGACCCATTATGTTATTATTTGTGAACATAATTTTGAAGATAGTAAAGCTGTCATCAAGGGCTCCTTTAGCTAGGGTGCCTTATCCTTGGACTGCATACAGCAGTGTGTATATTTATATGTGTTTTTCCAGGGCAGTATTTTTATATGTTCTGAAAAAAAGACATAAAAACAAATATTATTTAATTTGTATGTCTCTAGCCCAAATTAGCTTCACCTGAAATTCACTTCTTGTGTGTCTTATTTAATGCTCATATTTTTCTGATCCTTTTGCATGTTCTTGATTCTTTCCTTTTTCAAAGATATTGAATATCCCTCATGCAGGAAACCTGTATATTTTATAATAAATTATTCTTGATCTTAACAGGGGGATTTAGTATATGTTAACTATGCACGAACGGAAGACTTCTTTAAACTGGAGAGGGACATGAAAATCAATTGCTCTGGAAAGATTGTGATTGCCAGATATGGGAAAGTTTTCAGAGGAAATAAGGTAATATCATCTCTTTCCTTTTCCTCCAATATGAAAAGGTATAATACAATATATCTAAAATCTCCTTGCAACCTTTTCACGACTATGATCCTCTTACATTCTATAAATGTCCACCTTACAAGGAGGACATCCTTACTAGCTTATGGGAAGTGGTTTTAAACTGGGCCACTGGAATTGGCCAGTGTTTGGCCAGGGTGAGCCGAATAGATTTTTCTGTACTTGCAAGTTACCCCTGTGACCTACCTAGAAATTCATGCTAGATTTGTTGTTTCAGTATTTTTGTTTTAAATATTACATCTAAAAATATTTACTGAAATAAATTTAATATACATTGTTGTTATAGATATTAAGAGAAAATAAAATTCACATAGTAGTTTTAAATTAATGTCACTTGACTTTTTAATTTTTAAAAATTTTTTTTGGAAAATAAATTTAAAAATATTCACTTTCAACTATAGAACTAGGAGGAATCTGCCTGAGGAGTCTAGTTGCTCTATATACTTCCAGAGCATCAAAAGGAAACACCAAGTACTCACTACTAGTATCTGGGTATTTTCCAAATCTGTTCTGAGAACTAATACATTTTTAGAACCTGAAGTAGAAAAAAGAAAAAACTACTTCTCTGAATAAGTTCTTTGTTGTAAGCCTAATGAGAAAGGCTTGAACATAAAGCTCAGTTACTCATTTATGTATAGTTTTGAAAATTGTTACTACCAAATCTGGGGCAACCAATTAACATAAGAGAAGTACACTCTATTTCCTAGGTTAAAAACGCCCAGCTGGCAGGGGCCAAAGCTGTCATTCTTTACTCAGACCCCGCAGACTATTTTGCTCCTGGTGTACAGTCCTATCCAGATGGTTGGAATCTTCCTGGAGGTGGTGTCCAGCGCGGAAATATCTTAAATCTTAATGGTGCAGGGGACCCTCTCACCCCTGGATACCCAGCAAATGGTGAGTGATAAGGCCTCAGTCATTACAGGACACTTAGCCACATTTTAAAGTGATTTTATTTAAGGATTTTCTTTGATACAAAGGACTGAGAATATATATATATATATATATTTAAATTTTATCTAGGAATGATAGTTTCTGAAAATTATTGGTTCAGCTTCCTTATTTATTGTTTGAAATCCTTGTGACTAATAAATAGGTTTTGGAATTCAGACTTCCAATTGTTTAAAAAGTAACATGGTACATATACCATATAATTCATAACACTTACTTGGGAGGCTGGAACAGAACACCAGAAACCAGTATATAAACATTATTTTCATCAAACTGTATGAATGCTGATACTAAGTGGGGTAAATATGGAATATAAATAGACTCATCTGCTCAAGTGAGTTTTGCTATCAAATAACTTCAGGCTATATTGGTTTTATTGTCAAGTACATTTACCCTAAATTCATAGTTCCCACAGATTTTTTTTTTGCTTTTACCATTGACCAGAGAAGGAGAAGAGAAAATTTTATAACATCTTTAAATGACAAGATAGAATCTAGAACCCCTGAAAGACACCTATCTTTTTTAAAAATATATTTTTGTTAGTTGTAGGTGGACACAATACCTTTTATTTTATTTATTTTTATGGGGTGCTGAGGACCAAACCCAGGGTCTCACATATGCTAGGCGAGCACACTACCACTGAGCTATGACCCCAGCCCAAGACACTTGTCTCTGTTATTGCATGATGATAGCAGTGATGGATGTGAAGGAGTATCTCCTACATGCCAGCACTGTACATGCCTCAACAACCCTGAAAGCCAGGAGGCATTATCTCTGTTGGCAGGAGAGGAAACTGTGACTAGAAGAGGTAAGCCATCTGCAAGAGATAAACAACTACTTAGCAGGGAGTGGGATTCTAATTCAGGTACTCTGGCTGCAGAGTCTGTGTACTTGTGTTGAAATGCCACCTTGTAAAACATTAATAAAAGGAGCTCAATTATTTTAGGTGTACTCAACTATCTGAACATGTTTACAAAAATATGTAATCATTTAGTTCAGGTAGTTTCGAATTAACTAAATTTGTGTAATTTGCATAAATTAGTTGGCCAAAGCATCTTTATCACTTACATATTTACTCTTCATCTGGGTTTTCCATCAAATCGTGGATTCCATTGAAGCTTATGTACTGTTTTGCTTTGTAAGTCTTCTGAGAATATGGTACATTGTCATAGATTCTTTGCTTTTTTTTTTTTTAAACAATACACCTTACCATATAGTAAAACTACATGAATCTGCCTAAGGTTTTTCCACCTTTTTATTCTCAAGTTTAAAAAAATGCAACTTCTTCCAAATAAAATGAGATTAACTGGAATGTTTCTGTTGATTATCTTCACATTTAAATGATGGGATTTTGGGGGAACCCATGTTATCTTTTGGAAGCTAGCATTTATTCAACCCCTTGGGTGCCTGTAAGTTTACCACTTCCTTTTAATTTTAGTTTCTACTATGGAATAGTTCTAACATATCCAAAGCAAAGATAGTCAACAACATATTGTCAACTTTGTTTCATCTACCTATCATCCCCCTTTTGTTGAAAACATTGCCCCCTACACAGCATGTCATTATGTCATTCTGCCCAGGAGAATAATAAGTTTTTGAGATTAAGTTTCTTATTAGATAATTTCAAAACCTGGTGTGTGTTGGGGGGAAGGAAAACACAGATGTAATTTGTCTTAAGTCTGAATAAATGTCAGGATATTATTTTGCAGTAAAATTTGTATGCAATAAAATGCATAGATCTTAAATTCAGTTCAATGTATTTTTCTATTTTAAATTTTGTTTTTGCATCACCGGGAATTGAATGCAGGGTCTTATGGTCTGGTTCATGTGCTAGGCAAGCACCCTATACTGAACCATGTCTCCAACTCCAGTTCAATGAACTTTGAAAATTGTATGCATTCATGTCACCCAAAATTAAAGGACATTTTTATGATGTTCAGAGTGTTCTCCTATGCTCTTTCCCAGTCAATTTGCACTTCATCCCTCCAAAGCAACCACATTTTGATATCTAGCATCGTACATTAGTTTGCCTCATTTTGATGTTCATATAAATGGAATCAGACAGTAGATGCTCTTTTTTGTTTCACATATTTCTCTCAGTATAATGATTTGAGATTTTCCATATTATTTTGCATATCAGTAACGTGTTCCTTTTAACAACGAAATAGCATTCTATTGTTGGATTATACAAGAATTATTTATTCTCCTGTGGTCAGAAATTTGTTAGATGATGTAAATATGGCTGATTTAAACATTTTGTAAGGTTTTTTCCTTTCTTTTTTTTTTTTTTTGCACATATGTTTTCATCTTTTTAAGGTAAATACCTAGCGGTGGAATTGCTGTACCATAGTGCAAATTTCTGCTTAAGGTCCCTTTCAAAAGAATTATCCCAAGTCATTGTCTAATTTATACTCTTAAAAGCAATGTAGGAGAGTTTAGTTGCTTTATGTTCTTGCTAACATTTGGAATTATCAGTTTTCTTTAACGAATTCCAATAGATCAAAATGAGAATGTGTTCAATATGATTTATAGAGATCCACTTGAAAGGAATTAAGTTTTTATTGGAAATGTGTTTCTTTTTGTTGTTGTTGTTTCAGAATACGCTTATAGGCATGATATTACAGAAGCTGTTGGTCTTCCAAATATTCCTGTTCATCCAATTGGATACTATGATGCACAAAGACTCCTTGAGTAAGTTTGCAAGAATAAATAATTGACTACTTGGGTATTTCCCATGATTGGTAGTTTTATCTTCATTTTTTTTTCTGTATTGATTGTCTCTCAGATGGGTAGAGCATGTGATTGTATCATGATTTTATAGAATAATGGTTTTGTTCTGGAATTTACATTATATGATTTATATTATATGATTATTCAATGTTTGCCAGTCACCTAAAGGAGCCTTTCTGATCTCGAACTGCAGGGAGCATAATTGATCAATTGCTCCAGCCATTATGCTTTGAAATCTACTGCTGAGTGTGGTAGGGTGCTTAGACAGACTTGTTCTGGAACCACAGGACTCCTCAGATATGAAACTTTGACTTGAGGACCTGTTGACAAGCTCAAATAGAAGCTGCACCATGGCCCCATCTTCCTCTTCTTCCTTCCTTTTCTCCTTTACTTTGCATCAGATCTGCAAGCACTGCAGTCTGCTGACTTTATGAGGCTTCCCTAGCTCCCATTTTGCCCCTAGTAAATCATAGTCTTTTCCCCTAATAAATCTCTTGCTCATCTGTATTGCTTATTTCTTATTTCTTGAAGGACCCAGAATAAAATAAAGTGAGAAATACTTCCATTGTGTTTTTATTCTCTTCCCTTTCTTTCTCTGCTTTCATTATTGAATCTTCTTCAAATATGTTACTGTTTAGCCTAGCATTGGAAAGCTTTCCCCTTTCTTGCTCCATTTTTTTCCCCCATCTGAATGTCCCTTCTTTCCTTTTAGGAAAGGAGATGCCACTGATTTTTCTGAAAGTGAAGTTGGTAAAGACCAAAACATCTGGCCAGTCTGTCCTTTTTTATTCTTTGAGTACAAAGCATTCTTATTCCTTGTATTCTAACATCTATGAGAAAGCCTCTTATGACCTAGCATGCAAGGCCCTCATTTATATAGGTGACCTGATATCTGGAGATTTGGAGGAATGTGTCCAATTTAAGAGGAAGTTAAGGAAGTACCCTGTGTTTGTTTTGTTTTTCCTTTTGGCCCATGTTTTAGTCATCTTTTTTTTGCTGCAGTAACCAAAGGACCTGATGAGAACAATTAGAGGAGGAAAAGTTTATTTGGGGACTCAGTCTCAGTCCATAGATGGCTGGCTCCATTCCTTGGGGCTTGAGGCAGAATATCATGGAGAAAGGGTCTGGCAGAGGAAAG